GTAGAGGGACTTTCACTGTGTAACGCTTTGCTAAACCAGCCCTAGTAAGTGTGCTCTAGGAAACATTTAGAGTTAAGACTTGTTTGGATGTCAGATTGATGCTCAGGTTATTTTTGAGATTCTCAGTAAATACCATTTTTGGAATGTTACGATACAGACTTTGAAAAGTTAAGGGAAAATGTGAACTGACTTCCTGGATCTAGAGAGAGACTAGATAAAAACCCTTATAGTTCTGTGTACCAGAGGGTTCTCCACTCTTTAACGGGCCAAGTCCTTGGGAAGCACCTACCCTTCCTACTTCTGTGTGACAGAGCCAGAACAGCCAGTGCTGCTTCCCAGTGGTGGGGCTCTGAAGGGTAGACCTTTCCAGGAGACTCCAGTAACATGTCCTTTTAAAACAGAGACTATAAGTAACCCGTGCATAAAGGGCAAGAATGTAGATGTGAATGCCGTGGAAGGCCAGCCGGCGGACCTTTGGGAACCACTACTCCATGTTTCTAAGCCATTCTCTAAGAACGATGACATAACCATGCAGAAATGACAGAATGAAGAAGGAAAGCTTATAAGTATGGCTAGTCCACTTTACTGTCACTTAGTCAACAAATGAAAAATCTCTGTCTGTGTGCAATTTTACATACGTCTTTTTACTGCACGGTGTTTTGGTGGCCGCACCTGAACAGGAAGAAGTGTCCGGGCCGCGCTTCCTTTCTCCCTTGCAGCTTCCACCACTCCTTCCACTAACCTTCTCCACTTAGTAGCTCTCTGGCAAACCTCTTCCTGCCTCACTGCCTTGGGCCACTCTGGGCTTACAGCTCCGTTGACGTCTGCGGTCGTTGCTTTTGAGGGAAATGTTGACATCGATTTGACTTAAGCCTTCTCCCCAGAGTGATTTCCTCCCTTTGCTTTGTCAACAGAAGAATGGTTTATTATTGCCAGTTTTGGCCTCCTCAGTGCTCTCACACTCTGCTACATGATCATCAGAGCCACAGCTAGCTTGAATGCTAATGAGTAAGTAACAAATTGTTTTTTGGATTGCATGTGCCAGATGATCCCAAGAAAACACCTAGAGTAATTTTCATAAAGATGATGAGAATTGGCTTTCACCAGTTTCACATGGATTCTGATGGGATCATACTTAGCAGAATCATTTATTTCATGAACAGTAACTCAGATTGGGCATTCACCTTGCTCTGCAACAATAGCTCACTTGAGAAAAGACCCAAGGGCTTTCATAAGCCACAAACTTAGAGCAACTCACTCATGTCACATACAAGCCAAGGGAGCCAGTACAGACAAGGAACATACAGCAGGTCTGTGTCCTGATCACTGACAGGAACAGCCCCCAAGAGACTTTACTTGGAGCTTTGGGGGGAGTACAGGCACCCTTGACCAGAGGTCAAGGAACAGCAACTTGGATGTTTAGCCTGCAAGAAAGAAGCAATTGGGAAGACCCGCTGTTTCCAAATCCTAGGAAGACTGTTGGGGAAAACAAACTAATTGTAAACTGTATTTCCATAGGGCAAAATGAGGGCCAAAAGGTGGTTACAGGAAGGCAGATTTCACCTCTGTAGAAAGAAGAGCCTCTGTCAGCGAGGCTACTCACCAATGAGATGGTTTGCCAAGGGGCATGGGGGCGTGCTCAGGACTAGGCAGCTGCGTGTTACTTGTCAGGGCTACCGTAGGTGAGTTTTTCAGATGACGAAAACTTGGGCTAGATGACTGCTAAGGTCCATTCTGATCCAGTGATTTTCCAAGAATACCTTTCCACAGGGGTCAGATATAGAAAAGGGTTTTGGTTTTGTTTGTTTTGTTTCAAATTTGGGGCAGTTAACTGTAGGATATTATTCAGTCTTTTCATTTACTAGTATTCAGGCAAACTCCTTCAAGATGGAAGCGTCCCCAGAACACTGCCCAAATTCAAACCTAAATGGTACAGGTGGAAGTCACATGCTATCCATAGTACATTCTGCCTGCCATTTTAATTGATCAGTAATAACCAACCAAGCTCATGGAATTGATTTCAATTGAATTTTCATTGTCCAGCTGTAGAAACAGTGGGCAAGTGACCTCCACATCAGTGACATGTTTTATTACCTCTCAGCTGATCTGTTGGCTAGATACCCTTAAGAAGTGCCTTGGCATCCCTGACCTATTACATATTGGGGAGATGACATAATTAGCTGGCACTCTTCAGCCTTCAGATGAGTAATTGTGGCCTCATCCAACAGGTCAACAGCTAGCTGCTGCTTTTGGGCTCACTTCAACACAGCACAGTGTTAACTGCTCAGATTCTAAAGGCAGATACACCTGGATCTGACTCCCTGCTCCTCCATTTTTTACTTGTGAGACTTGAGCAGTTATGTTTATCCGAAGCTCTTTTTAGTCATCCACGAAACAGGAATAACGGTCAAAGTACGTCGTAGGGTTGTTATGAGAGCGCAAAAAGTGCTTATTAGCACAGTGCCTGGTACATAATAAGTGCTCAATAAATGTTAGCCAAAATAATTTCTCTGAGGGTCTTTAAATTCTGTAAGATGGCCATCTACCTTGATCATTTGGCAAGTCAATCTACTTTTCTTCCATGAAATAGAATAGAGTCACAGGAGCTCTGTGAGTGCCTGTGAGTCAAACCTCAGTTTGGGGGGGGAACTGTTTATTTCACATGCAGTCACCTCTTTTGCCTACTCCATACCGACTCATCAGACTAGATAATAATGTAAGCCCACTTCTTAAAAATTCCACAAGTGAGTGAAAACCAGTCACAGTGAATAGTGGTACTCTGGGCACTTTTAGAAAGTTTTTAAGTAACTTAATGATCACCTTGCTGCCACTCAGAATCTGCCAGATGCTCGGTTCCTACATCAGGTATTTTAGAGAATGCTCAATAGACGTGTTACCTATTAGAGAACCTGGGCTACAATATTTCAGTTCCATGCATAAATTCCTGCATGACTCAGAATTTAAGTCATTGATCTTAGATCCATGTCTTAGTCCAACCCTTCTCCCATTGGCCTTTGTGGAAGGTTGATACTGCAGTTGTTCATTTGAATATTATTTCTGTGCCTTCAGTCAAAACCACCCTGAAAGACGATTTTCATGATCCCATTTTGAGAAGGAAATAGAGTGAGAGAGAGCATGTGTGTGTGTATGTACACATGGACACATGAATGATGGTCACCAGAATATTAATAGTGATTATCTCAATTTAGTGCACTCTTGGTTTAGGTGATGTTTTTCTCCTGTTGTGCTTTTATGTATTGATTTTTTAATAATATGATTTACTCAAATTTTTTAAAAACCTTTTTAATTTTAAGAGATAAAAAAAAAATAGTCACTCTTACTCAGTGTCTCCTCAAAATGTGAATGAAAAATTCCTATGTGATTTTAATTCCAGAGAAAAGTTTATTTTAGCAAATAAATTCATAATTATTCATTAATGAATTCTTTGAAATTTATCTTATCTCCCTTTTTGCCTTTACCAAAAACTTACAGCCAAAACGAGATTACCTTTTCAATTTAATAACTTAATTTTCTAGGTAAACTCATTCATTTGTACGATAGTCTTCTATATAAATAGATCCATCTTCTCACATTAGTGATCTGTCAGGAAATAGTAAACTTTACCTCAGTGTATACTACCTACTGTTACAGTTTACTTTTCTGACTGTATTACACTGAACTGGTGTATTGTAATTTCAGCAAGACCTTGACCCAATCTACTCACTTGTGAAAACCTGTGGGCAAGATGAAGTAGTACCCGCCAGATGGAAGGGAAGGCATGTGGCACCAGACCTACCCAGGCTTCCACCACAGTGCGTGATTTACTGCCCCCTAGGGGTGAAAGCACTGCCACCATCCTCACCATGCACTCCACGGTTTGATGCTATTGGTTTAACTCCAACATCAATCCAAAGTCCATGTACCTGGGGTCACTTCCCTTCTCTTTTGATGAAATACTGTTTAAGTACGCAACCATGACAAAGTGCTTTAATTATTTTAACACTGCAAATCTTTGAGACTTTGCAAAATAAGCAGGATAGTAGTCAAAGAAGCAAATAAATGTAAGGTCAGTCTATTTTTATATATTTTCTTTTCTTTTTTTCTTTTTTTTAATGCCTACAGCACCTGGTATTCCTAGGTGGTCTCCCATCCAAGGTACTAACCAGGCCCGACCCTGCTTAGCTTCAGAGATCGGACGAGATCAGGCACATTCAGGGTGGCATAGCCATAGTATATTTGCTTTTCATACCACCGTTCCTTAGTACCTAAGTAAGCAAGGTTATTGAAGTTCAATTCCCAGAGGAGGTTTTCTCCTCCTTTTCGTTATTCAAATAAACTTTGTTAAAGGCCATCATTAACAGGCTTATATTTGTATCAAGCTATTTCTCCCACACCATAAGAAAAGTAAATATTTTTTTTTATTTGAGGAACAAGTTATAAGATGTGCAGATGGTTCAGGAGAGATTTTCAGTAGAATGGGAAGTTCAGCTAGGTATCCTCTATAGCCCTTGCTCAGTTCCTAGATATGGATTCACAGAAATCATGTCCTAAAATTTGTGGAAGAGTGTAGCTCAGACATTCAAGATTCAAGAAACTGTCTCAGTGGGAGGAAATGAATCTGCCGTGGTCAGCCTGAAGGAATAATGGGAGCAAATGTCAAACCCTGTAGCATCACCCAAGACTGGAAAGCCCTGGCTCTGCGGCCAGTCAGCAGACTCCGCTGTCCCACCAGCGCCTTGTGAGCCATGCTCCTCAGAGGGGTCATGGTAAAAACGTCTAGAACAGCTCAAAGAAATACTCTACTCAGTATTTCTTATTCGTTCTGACTTTTTTGAGGAACACTAACATATCTCAGTATAAAAGGGTCTGAATAGTTCATCATTTGATGTCTTGGGGATGCTTATCTTAGAAAAAGAGGAGACCGGGTGATGCAAGAGCTGTCTCTAGGTATTTGAAGGACTCCTGATGATGAGAATAGCTCCTAGCAAGAACTTCCTGTACTGGGCTCTGTCGCTCCCCGTGTGGCCCCATTTAATGCTCACAGTCGGATGATGAGCCTGTACTGGGCTCTGTTGCTCCCCGTGTGTGTGTGGCCCCATTTAATGCTCACAGTCGGATGATGACTGCCTAGGGCTCAGAGGCCACACTTCCCATGCAGACTGGAGCTCTGGAGAAATGCCCAGGGAGATAGATTTCCACTTAATGTGCGAAAGCACCTTCTGCCAATCAGAATTGCCCACCGTGGCGTGGACGTCCTGAGAGCTAGTGAGCTTGCCAGGCGCTGCTTATTAGGACGGAGTCTGCAAGACAAGCTGCTCAGAGGCAGGTCCTACCCGTGGTGGAAGTCCAAGGCCCCTTCTGGTTCTGAGAGTCCCTCCTGAACTGCGTCCCCCAGGTGTTCCTTCCTGGGCGAGATCAGAGCCAAAGGACGGGGGCTGCGTTCTCTGCTGGCCACTTCCTTTAGAACTTTAAGTATCAAAAGCAGTGTTTTTAAAACTTTTTATTTTTTTACCATTTCTCACTGTAAGAAGTACATTTTACATTGTGACCCAGTGCTCCCATGTGTATAATTGGAACGGAAGTTTGACAAACATTTTCCTTACACGTGCAGTATTCTCTGGTCTGTTCTCTGTACTTCGTTGTTGTACTGTTAAAGATAGCTGTGAGCTCCTGCATTGATTTTACAATCCAATAACAGGTTACAGCTTGTGATTGGAGAAACACCAATCTAAACTTTGAATTTTTAGTTCTCAACTTAATACCTTTTATTCACATTTATGTGTATTTACTCACAGCTCTGTGTATTTTCCTGAGATAGCCTTTTTTTGTAGCAATACCAGCAAAGATTTGGACTTGCCCCAGTTTACTCATGAACTCTTTTTCCCTTGTTTATTTACATCTCCTTTTAGCCACTCTGAGCCTGAGAAAGATACACAGAAGAGTAACCCAAGGCCCCGGTGGACTGGTGACCCCCAAGAAATGCCATAGGAAGAAGGGCATGGCACTCA